ATTTGCTAACATTTATAATTATGTAATTATATATTTTAAATTTATATATATATATATATATATATATATATATATGTCATACACACATATATACGCACATAGAAACTTATTTTTTATAATTTATTAATGTAAGTTTATTAATTTTTTCTAATTTTTATTTATGAAAATATTGATACATTTAAATTATCAAATTATTTTTTTTAAATTGAATGCAAAATCTTCAAAAAATTATTAGATTTTAATTTGATAAAATTTATCCATCTTAAGCGCGGATTTATCGATAAGTGAATAAGATATAAAACCTTTTCCCAATGTATTTAAATTTTAGATTTATAAACTTATAACTTATTTTAAATAGTCGAAAGAAAAACATAATTTTATTTATATATTTCTACTTCTTGAAGCGTTATTTTCCATAAGATAAAAATTGCTTTTGTAAATACAAAAATTATTTAAATACATAGGATTTCAAATTTTCTGTTTAGGGTCCTGAAATTTAAATCCGTCACTGTTTCACTCTCTCGCTCTCTCGTTCGCTTTCTCTGGCTTCTTCTCATATACCCTCGTAGTAGTAATACGCCTTTCACAGTTAGCGCCGCGACGCTCGGTATCGACCGAGGGTGTTACCCCCTGTTTCCCCACTCTCTAACTGTACTCCATCGCCATCCCCTCTGTTTGGTTCCAGTGCACCCTCGCGTTGCACGAGCGCTCTCAACTTTCCAGCACTCTTCCCCGCTTTTGCAATCCCCTCTACTACGCGCCACTACGATAGTACTATTCGATTCATAATAATACAAAGAACACGCGATAGCGCGTATTCGCGTGCAGCTTTAATTCACGAACTAAACCGTGTTCGCCGTCGCTCTGCTTCTTTTACTGATATTTCGTCGACCTGTTCTACATATTATGATTACGTATTATTCTATATGCTCTACAGATTAATTCAAAATTAAAGTGTAGTGACGTGTACTAAAATTGAAAATTCAAGAATTTAATCATTTTTAAACGCGCTTTTTCTATAAATTTAATTCTTTATCAAATTATCATTGGTTTAAATGAATACAGATTTTCTGGATTATTTCATCCACAAATATATTACATTTCCAATCTCATAATTTTTTACATCGAAAAAATTTCTGCGGTCTTATCATAATTTTTATTTATTCCCAATACTTTTAATAGATATTAAGATTGATTTAATTAGAGTTTGAAAAGTGCGAAGTTTAATAGGGAAATATATTATAAGGGGAAGAATATTATAAGATAATATAAGATATCAAATGTAATAGATATCAATGGCATGAAAAATATTATTTTTAATTATTTTATCCGTAATTAATTACGATCCAGTCTTTAATACGAAATCACATAATTAATCTTATTCTTTCAGATACATATTTTTATTTAAAAGAATATTTTTCACGAGTTCTTTCTATCTGTTAATTGTGATCATAAAAATAGATACATACAATGATTCGCTAAAAATATAGAACACGTTTTTTTCTTAATTAAAAATCCGAAATTAAAAGTCTACATACTTAATTGATTTGTTATTTTCATGAATTTTCTAATTTATTTAATTTAAATAACCACTTTCTATAGTTTGATCTTCGCTCAAAAGCGCTCATAAGTTGTAGAGAGTAATCTCAACTTTGTCGTATAGAAGGCGAGCTATAATCAAGAGTGACTTATGGCATAATTAGCACATTTCCCGGTTCTGAGTAACAGCCGCCTTCTTGCGACGGGTGCACAAGAAGGAATCCGTGTTCGCAAAGCAGGCAATTAGTGAAGGAGAACTGTTTTTTTTTTTTTTTTTTTTTTAAGAAAAGATTTTTATCAGATTAACTCTGCCTTAATTCTAAAATTTTGAATATTAAAAAGCTCGGAACTCTTTAATCTTCCATTCTCTCGTGCAACTTGACGAAAAAGGTTTAAAATCAAACTTTATCCATAGATAATTCGAAACTTTAACAATCAAAGCTTTCTGAAAGTATTAAGAATTAAAATTATTGAAAGGAACTATTCCTTTAAACGATATTTACGTATGTGCGTGCATATGTATATGTGTGACTGATGTATTATTTTGATTTAATCATTAAAAAATTGAACATTTATCATATCAACATGTCATTTTTCGTCAGATTCATTAAATTGAAAACACCTGTTTTTAATTAAAAAATGAAAGAACTTCACAGATTGATAGGACATTGAATGATTGGATGACATTGAATGAATAGGAATTGATTGAATAAAACATTGATATTAATAAATGAAATAATAAATAAATATGATATAAATAAAAATATGAAAATGAAGATTTTTATAGTTAAAATTGATGCATTTAATTCTGAAAACGTTATTTATTTTTATTATACAGATATAAATGAATTTTCTTTCGTTTTAAATTTATTTATTCAATTATTAAATAATAAAAATATTGACGTATGAAAGAAAACACGATATCTTATCTGGAAAAAATAGATACTTTTATGCTATAAATATATATTATATTCAATTTGCTCGATTCTTTGGCAACCAAATATTTCGAAGATATTGAAACAAATCACTTTGGGTTTCTTACAAGCACGCCCGATCGGCGAATTAAATGAGGTCGAAATGATTTATTGGGGTGGTTGGCTCGAAGATGTGAGGCACTATATTATTCGATGGGTGGGTCATCTTATCTACAACGATAAAAACTGACCCAAATTTACACCGCATCTTCCTAGCAATTCCCTTGACAGAACACATCGAGATTTCTGCATGCGTAACTTTCCTCGTCCTGCTTTCGAGAATACGCGATATAAGTTTTACCAATCGAAAACTTTCAACCGTAAGTAAGTAAAAGTCCCGATTGTTCCACTTCGGCAACACGAAACTGGCCGTCGACGGAAAATTGCGGATTACTCTTGGTCGTACGAGCTTTACGACGAGATCATAGAGGTTGCTTTTATGCACAGGGCGTGTCCGCCGTTCCTTCTATCTCTCTAATATTACAATGTTGCGTCCACACAGTTTCTCTCTATACATGCTAAATGTATAATCTTGTATTAAATATATACGAGATTGAGATTTACTTTTAAAATATGCTTCGATAAAGATAATAAAAACATATGATAGTTTCTCTCTGCAATGACAGAATTATGTATAATTTTTTTTCCTTTTTACAAAATTATTATTTGACACGATTCTCAAAATATACAAAGTATTTATAAATCATGTATTTATAAATAATATTTAGAAAATATATATATATTATATATTTTTATATATTAAATATTTTATTTTATTTAACTTTGATTAAAATTTTAAATATGCATTTATGGCTGCTATATAAATATTAATTCGCTCTCTGCGGTGAAGAAATAACCAATATTGCAAACTTCTGATGCTCTGCGAAAGAGAAAGTTCTCGACTGCTACCGTTTGTATATCGAGATATGGAAAAAAGTACGGACAAAAGCGTAGCTCGCTTAAGCGTAACGCAAGGGTTGCGGGGCTTCTATTATTGCAAAGCAGCGGTCGATGAGTTCTCGAGATTACGTTCTCCTGGGAGATATTCCTCTCCCTTTTCCTCTCATATTTATTCACCGTCACGAATTCCACGTTCGCGCTTTATCAACGAAATTACACTTTCCCGACGGTTTAACGCTTGTGTGCAAGCTTGCATTGGTTTACCCCCTAATTATGTATCTAATTTGTGACATTAGATTATTAAAATTTACTTATAAAATTTAGTTATGCTTATTACTTCAGCGAATCATGAAAGAATTGTTCCATTAATTTTAAAGAACACACATTAATAATCTCTATTTCTCTTATAGAATATAAGAATTGTTCCATTAATTTTAAAGAACACACATTAATAATCTCTATTTCTCTTATATTAAATAATTTTGTTAGAATTTTAATTCAAACGTAGAAAATGTTTAAAAATGTAGAAAGTATTTAGCAACTTCACAAAAAAATAATATTAAAAATAATATTAAATAATATTAAATTATATCAATTTTTTATATAAAATATTGCATTGTTCATCGAATATATTTTTTATCAGATATTTTGCGAAATTCTTTGCAAAATAAATTATGCAAGTTTATGGTGTGCTTCCTCTGAAAGAACGGCACTCTTTTGCCGATGGAGAATCGAAATTTCCATTTTTTTTTACCGTTCTCCTCATAGGAAACTCAATTAGCGATCTCGTAGAATTAATCCCGAGCTGCAGCAGGCTGCATTCAAACGAGGTCCTCGAGGTTACATTGCCCTTAGCGGAAAGAGTAACAGAGCTGATTGGCGTTCGCGCAAATAACTTCGTTACGAGTTCCGTCACGAGTGCGGTTCACGTGGATTTAGCTCCTGCGGTGTCTATCGAATCAGTTTCCGCTATCTTTTCTTTTTTTTTTAACTCAATTATTGGAAAACCGTGGAAAATCTTTGTCGCTTCCACAATAAAACTTATGCGCGAATATAAAATTGCGATATTTAATTTGCAAAGATATAGGTATATAATTTACCATAAGACAAAATTGCGATTGTGAAAATTAATTTAAAACCTTTATTTGTTATCATGAAACGCTTAGATAGACCCAACTATAAATTAATAGTTAATCTATATTAAAAATAGTATCTTCGTTTAGTCTATTAAAAATAGTATTTTTGTCTTTCACTTATTACTTTACTTTAAAAATTTTTGATAATAAAATTTATATATTAAATTTTTTTTAAATATAATCATACGTTTATTTTCAAAAATGCTATTTAGATGTTATGCATATCCAACTTTATTAATTCGTATTACATTTTACATTTAATGTTTAAAGTAATCTGGAATAATTTAGATTTTTATTTTGAGTTAGTACAATTAATTAAATTTATGTCACACAAAAGTTTACGTTGCATTCATAGAATTAAGTACGATGAAAAATGGACAATGTGATGACATAGAACACAGAATCTGCTAATTAAACTGGATATAATTAATCGTTGCTTTTGATTATGCAGGTTGTTACACCACAGAAATGCGGAGACGTCTACCTGTACGACCTTCCAGCCAGCCGGGGAAGTCCTGCGCCGCCCTCCAGACACGACTCACCCCTCAACTCGACGAACAATGAGCATTCGCACAATACAGGTGCATATTATTCACAAACGCCTCATGTCTAACCGAATGATCATTGTGATGAAGCCGTCTGCTAAAGTTTGTTCATTAATTGACATATCGATTAATTTTGCGAAAAGAAAACTGCGTTAGAGTATTTTCGAAAATTTTAATTAAAACCACAGATATATACATTTTTATTATTTTATATACTTTTTGATAATTTCAAATATTATCTTAAATTACTTAATTTTCTATCTTTAAAAAATTATTATTTTCAAATATTTAATATCTTTTCGTGCGATTTAGAATCAAAATTCAATCAAATTTTACAGCTTGTGCACAGGATATTTTTTCTGCAGAATAAATTATTTTTGAGAATAAAAAGAATATATAAATTTTATACAAAATATAAACTCAAAAAAATATTAAGTCTTTTTTGTGAATCTTATATCGATAAAATTATCCATTTATTTATCGCACCTGTTTAGTTTACATTGAAGTTTATTAGTCTCCTATTATCACACTTTCGCTAAATAGATCCCGTTGTTCGCCGAACAAAGAGCTCCTGGGGATCTGTAGTAGAAATCTCACAAAACACTTCATTAAACACGCTCGGACAAGTTAGTTCACACAAACACCCGGAGAGAAATTTCTCTTTCCTTTTGTCAAACGGATGAACTTGTGCATGCTTAGGGCGATACACCAACAGCAGTAACAGCGCGAGGAATTCCGTCGACAACGGAGGCGATGCGAACGAGTGTTATGACGTACCGCCGCGCGCGATCCCGGTGATACCGTCGCCGGCGAGCAGCCCGAGCCCGGCCCCGTCGTGCTATGACATCCCGAGGCCGCCGACATCCTGCACGCCTAACTCAAATAGCTCCGGTGTCACGCCGCTGGATTGCTACGACGTGCCGCGACCCCTGCAACCCCTCACGCCCAGCAGCTCGGCCTCCAGCCTCACCAATGACGGATCCCTCAGTGGCTCGAACAGGTACGTTCGCTCGCATTTCGCGTTATTCGCAGGAATTCCTCCCAAATGGAGTCGTGGGTTACAGGGATGATGTAGTCGTCCTTGGAACCAGAGATATGGGAATCGTAGAGATTTACATGCGTCCAAGAATAATATATCTAAAAGTTTCGGAATAAATTGAGGACTGAATAAAGTTTCTCGGAAATCCTGCGAAAAATGATTTAAAGACATAACAATTATAAATTATATGTCAAAAGGAATCTCGAGACTCGCAATCTTTCGCTAGAAAATTTCGATATATACACAGTGTTATCAATAATAAATTTTAAAAACTTTCAATATTTAATCTCCTTTCGGCTTCGCTACATAGATGATGGTTTGAATTTCAGATCGAGTTTGGCCGCTCCGGATTATGATGTACCTCGACCACGTCTTCCAGTATCCTCGTTGCCGTCTCGACATAACACTCCCGTACCGAACACTCCGACGCCCCCGCCACCCTCACAGCAAATTTACGACGTACCAGTCAGCAAGGAGCTTCCGCTGGAGTTGGACTCCGCCCTGGAAGGCTTGCAGAGATTGCAGAATGAGGCGTCCGCCGCGATAGCGAGGTTACTGGGTTTCGTGAGCCCTGGATGGAGAACACCGCAACGATTGGACGCCACTCTTATGGACCTAAGACTGGCTGCTCTCAGACTCCGAACGTCTCTACACGATCTAGCTGAATTCGCGGAAGGTAATTAACTACAGCTCCGTTACTTTATATAATTTGTCTTTAAAAATTCCTCGAAGATATCTTTACAATTTTTCAAATAAATGACATCCTCATATTTTATAATTTTTCTAGTTTTTATTAATCTCATGAAATAATTCGAAAATTATAAAGTCACAGAGAAAAAAATTCATCATAAATTATACAAGAGATAAATTAGATTTTTTAATACATTATTTTTATCTCTACAATTGTTCAAATTTACGACATAATCACAATTTTATCTAGAAATTTTACAAAACTATATTTATGTATACTTGCTAAATTTTAAAAAATAATATTGTGCGCATAGGTACGCTAGGCAATGCAGGCAAAGCGCCGGATAAAGGTCTAGCAACGAAATTACGACCGCTAGTAAAAGCGCTTCGTGATTCCGACAAGCTCGTGCAGGAAGCCGCTACTGAATTGGACACGATGGAATGGGATGCGAGCAAGCTCTGCCGCGGCGGTGGTGATACACCAACACCTACTAACGGACCACCGCCTTCGTTGCTACCGCCTGTACAGCCGGATCCCCTCGATCAGCTGATCGCGTGCGCTCGAGCGCTCACGGAAGACGTTCGTCAGGTTGCTAGTTTCATTCAGGTAAGCGTCTTTCGCAAGTAATATATTTGTCAGGTAATGACTTTTAAAACCTTAATAGATTCCTAATTGAATCGTCGTACAATCCTGGAAAATGAATTAATATAAATTAAAATGATGAATTAACATAAGTGGAAAAATATCGATCTTCTCAAACTTTTTTTTAGAATGCATTGTATAAATAAATAAGTTTCCGTTCTTAATCACTATCACTTTACTATATAATATTATATACTATATAATATTATTATATTCTGTGTAATAAAAACAAATTCATAGTAGAAAATTAATTTTTTAATTTTTAGTAGAAAATTAATTTTTTAATTTTTAATTTTTAAATTTTTTTGTGAGAATTGAAATGGATGAACAAGAATGTCTACGTTTCTTTTAGAATAATAGATTGTGTAATATAATTTTAATAACATTGATAGGAATCTTAAGTCCGTATTACTAATGATAGAGACTTTATGTGTGCAGGGAAATTCCACGTTGCTTTTCAAACGAGCATCGATCATTTCCACGGGCAGTAGCAATAATAGTGGCCCCGGGGAGGATTACGACTACGTGAATCTCGATTCGCGAGAGGTCGTGGCGAAACAACGGGAGGAACTACGAGCTCTGCTACCGCAGGAGCTGCGCAGCAATTACGATCTGCTGGTATCCGAGGCGGACAATGCGGCGATTCAGATGCCACCCACGACACCGACGCCCATGGACCCCAACGACAAGCAATTGCTGGCCTTTTACGCTGCACAGGTGATCACGCACGGAGCGCACTTGACTCACGCCATCGACGCTTTTCTACAAACAGTCGAGCATAATCAACCACCCAAGGTGAATTGACTTAAAATTTCTTGTGGTACTTGTAGTATCCACAATGTACTTTTTTGCGTGAAAATATTTGAAGATATATCGACGCTTTTCTACAAACAGTCGAGCATAATCAACCACCCAAGATGAATCGACTTGAAGTTTCTTGTGGTACTTGTAGTATCCACAATGTACTTTTTTGCGTGAAAATATTTGAAGATATATCGAGATTTATTGTTCGATGTTGGCGATCAAATGGCAAAGAGTGTCATTCTTGTCTCGATAAAATTTAAGATTTGAATTATATCTATAATCACACATTTTTACAACACTTATAATAATATATAAATTATCAAACTAGCTAATATAATTATGCAAGGCATTTGACGTATACAATATTAGCTAAAGCTATGTATAGAATATTTTATCGTAGTCTTTCGATAAAAAGAGATTAGATTAGATCTGTTTAATTATTTTAGAAATTCACATGATTCATAAAAATCGCTAGAACTAAATCTTTTGTCGGAAAACATAGCATAAAGCATCTTTTTATATTATAATTTTGAAAAATGTTATATTCAATTTAAACACATCTTTTATAAAAAGATTCGAATTCTTTTTGTTTATATAATGAATCAATATATCAATATATCAATCAATATAAAAATTCTTGTATTGGACAATGCAAGAAAGCACTTTAATAATTTTAATAATTTGTTTAACAAAACAAAAATAAATCTTAATGATATATGAATGATGTATGAAATTACAGGTTTTTCTGGCTCACGGTAAATTTGTCGTGCTGAGTGCACACCGACTCGTGCACATCGGCGACACGGTGCACCGAAACGTGACGCGCAACGACGTGCGTACACGCGTGTTGCAATGTGCGAACGCCCTGAACGAAGCGCTCGCGCAAACCGTGCAGAAGACGAAGCAGGCCGCTCAATTCTTCCCGAGTGTTACTGCGGTCCAGGAAATGGTCGATAGCGTCGTCGATGTTTCACATCTAGCTAAAGATCTCAAAGTCGCCATGATACAGTCCGCTCAACAGCCTTGAAGATCTTTATCACAACACAGTCGCGTAACTACAAGTTCCTTGAATTGAAATGCAATCTTTACGATTGGTAGTTCTTTTTTTTTTCGTTAAACTCTGAGACTGCGGAAGATTCAAACACAACGCATCTTAGGGTTTTACACCTTGCGATCAGATTTGATCGCAATCGTTAGTAATTCGAAGACAACGCTCGAGGAATCATGTTGAATCTGTTGTTCACATCTTTTTTGTCGAGATTTTGAAACGTCGCTGAAAATTCACAGCGCGTTCATAGAATGAATATTTTTTCCTGTATAAAAATGGATCAAAAGTATCTCAGGAAATTTTCAATGGATGGTCCTTCAAGCGTTATCTACGAGATGTGAATGGTTGATGATTGCTGTTATCTCGAGCCAGCATTAAAGAATGCAATGAGGAATACGGTGATATTGAAGGCGCCTGATATTTTTATCGAAAGAGAAAGAGCATTAGCGCAAAAGAAGTTTGATTGGAATCCTGACGACAGTATTTTTAACTCTAAACGGCGAAATAATCAAACAAGATGTTCCGTATGTATGCTTCAAAAACCAAATCCCCGGATACTTACACACTTTATGTGTACAGTACAGAGCTAATTATCCATTTGCACTATAAAAAAATTGTGGCCTAAAATAAGAACCTGCTACTGCCAAAGCTCCGATATTTAGATCATAAGAAACGAAAGAAACCTTGGAACGAGTGTCTTTGTAACGTACTCGAGAATATTAACAATTGTAATCTTTCATAGAAAATATGTAGCCGTATCGTTCAACTAGACATTTCAGATAGACGTGTTGAGTATAACGAAGAGTTATAATAATAGCTTTCTGGTACGTGCGAAGCATTCCCGGAATGGGCTTCCACGAATTCGTGGTTTGATAGACACTGTGAAGTCCATAATGATCCAGGTTTCGGAATGGAGCTCATTTCGGATACACGTCAACACGTACGCAGCTAAACGTGTTAGTAGTCTCATAGATGTACGTATACAATATACAGTAGAACATACATGTATACATGACAATGCGTATTCATATCTCTCTTTTAGAGCTGAATTCATCGATGTCGGTTAACTATAATCTTAGTTTCGCTGATTCTTTAGAACTAGATTAAAAAAACAAAAAAAAGAATAAGCTACAGTTAACTGATATTGCTATTTAAAGGAAATGCGAAAGATCGATATGAATACCAATGTTGAATTGAGAAACAACCGCATTTCTGTTTTTCTAGTTCGATCGTATGTGAAAAATTGACACCAAGAGAGAGAAAATTCAATGCAGGGAATATACACCTTTTGGGATATCCTGCGTGCAGAGACGCACTTGTATTACTTGTTACAAATGATTCTTTTGGAGGACAACTTTAAACGAAAATTTTATATGAAGCTTTTACTACTGGGTTACGAATTTTTCGGACACCCAGGCCTTTTTACCAGGTTCTTCCATAACCAAATTAGTCACGAGCGCACACCGTGAACCGCGATCAGCGGCGGATCAAATGAAATATTGCCGTAAGAATTTGAACGGCAACTATGCATACTCGCAATTTTTTTTCCTTCTATACCGAGGCCTTTTTTTATAAACCGAATTTTTATAGAATATTTTATTAACTTAGCACAGATTCGAGACCTCCATAATAGAGACTGATGCAAACAACGCAAATATTTAGAAAAATATTGCAAAAATTATGTTGTCATTTTTTTTAAGTGTCTTGCATTTCTATCATGTGATAAGTCAATCGTGGAATTGCATTTTTCTAATTATCTTAGCAATCAAAACTATCTTTTTTATATCTTAATACACAATTATAATTAATAACTTTGCGTTAAAATACTATCAAAAGATCATAACTAGATTATCTTCAAATGCATAATTCTCGAAGTCAGGAATATATATACAATTTAATTTGCGGCGCAAATTGTTTCGTTGGCATCTACATGCAAAAGTGTACTTAAAAATAACTTGCCAACTAGTAAGATCCGCTCGACACAATTCGCAAAACTATTCAACTTATTTTACTGCGCCTCGATTAAATAATAGAGATATAATTGTGTGACTGTGACGCGGTTATACTTTTAGCCGTGTATTAAAATATAAGCGGCTATTTTGTTGCAGCTTTAATGATAACGAGCATTTACTAAAATTTTTATTCCATAAGGATTTTTATCTTTCGACATTCTCAATTACGAGATCGATTGTCGTAATTATTATTGTGACGTAGCTGAAGTGATTCTTTTCGCAGATGCGACTTATGACATTGATATCCCATATAGCATCCTATGTCCAAAAGACATTAACAGGACATCCTGAAGATGTCTAATAGCCCAAAGATATCTTGATATCTTCAAGATATCTGGATACCTTCTGGACATCTTTTGGATATGCATGCTATATGGGATATTCTACAGTTTATTTTTTAGAAATTATATATCCAAGCATATCGCATATAGAGAAACGTTTATACATGAACCTCGTGACCTGTATTATAATTTATTAGCGAAGCGATTTTTTTTGTAATATAATATACATGTGACAGGCAGTTATATAGAATCTAGAATTGTATATTTCGAAGTTTACATGATAGTCGATAGGTGCTTATCTTTCGCGTTCAACTATCGTATATTCAGGTATATCATGGTCATTAAGTATTAATAGTTTTTTTCTCTTTTTAACGCAGGCTAGCGAATGTTATTTTATCCGTCAAAGAAAACACGATCTATCGTTTCTCTTTAATTTCCCTTTTGTACATTGTACCTGGATGATCCTTTCGCAGTAATTGTATATTCTTGCGATCATATATTCGTTAAACATATACATATATGCAACGGTATTTCATATTATTGTAAACATAAGGAATACTTATTATGCTACAAGCTACATATCGAGAGCGATAATTCTAAGATTAAGATAGAAAAATTGAAGAAAAGAGAAAGAAACTCTCGATATAGCATACGTGATATCGTTTTAGAGGAATTTACTACATCGAAAACTCGGTTTAATGAATCATGCTTTCAGTAGTATAGCACGGACAATTCCTGCGTTTTGTCATTGAAAATTTCTTCGTTGAATGCAAAGCCTGAGATGCGTTATGAACTAAATAATTGATTTATGTTACGTTAAGAACACCTTATTTGTATATATACATAGATATATATTTATACATATTATATATTATATACACATAAATATTCCTATTACAAAAACGAAGTATGTATACACACACACACACACACACACACACACATATACACACACATGCGCAATAGTATGTCTGAGATGCAATAGTGGAATAAACCTGTTTGAATATTGTGCAATGTCAAAAATAATTTTTAAGCCAAAATATGCTGAAATAATCAAGAAGTATTAAAAAGAAAATATCTATCGAGAGGAATATTCATAGATTGGATTGTAATATAAGTCAGAATGTGTAAACTGAATCCACGTTTTCAATACTATAAAATATTTTTTTTCTGCTATCCTTTTTTTTTTTTCAACTATACTTCAACATCCTGAAAGATTAATTTTGCATATTGGCGCATTATTTGTACATTATAGTTTCGTTCATACAATAAAGTCTCAAAAGAGAAAAAAAGATCGTGATAAAAAATATAGACAATCTTTCCAGAAAATTCTTTATTCTTTATGTTACAATTTATTAATTTTTATTACATTTTGATGTGTGAACGAAACTCACAATATATATCTATGCAATATAAACTGTCAATTGACAGATACAACAGTCCCAACATCCAATTTTTCCCCATTGTACAAGCCTTAACAAGTAGCTTCTGTGCACAGTTGGATATAAAACATTTTATCAGTATGTATCTGGTCAGACTTTTGATAAGTGGAAACTCCATAAGAAGTAACTTTATATATTAATAATTATTTTCAATTAATTAATAATGACAAATTCTATTCATATTCCTTAGCAGAAAGAATATTAAATAAATGTGTTTTCAAGTTTATTCAGTTTTAAAAACCAACCTGGTTTTGATAGTAGCAGCGATGAACAGACTAAGAGTGATCCCCGCAACATCTGCCAAGGTGTGTATGAACATTGCCCTCTTTATGTGCTCTATCCCTAAGAGCCTTTTCATGGTGAAAACTAGTGAGATCTCGTTTCATTGCATAAGCATCTTCGCCGTCTGCATAGTATTTTGGTTCTACTTCAGATACTTCAAATTGCAAGCTGCTTGTGTACAAGTTGAGAGCTGCACGATTACTTCTGCGGACGTGCAACGAAACATACTTTGCTCCAAAGCATTCTACCATCGCTCTAGATGCTTGATTCATCAGTTTCTGTGCAATCCCCAATCTTCTGTGAGAGCGTTTCACTGCCAAACTGGTAATATGCCCATGAGGATTATCTTCGCAGTCCTCTTCCATCTTGGCAAGCACATATCCTACTATTCTGCCTTTTTCATCCTCTGCCACATAACTGAGTTGTGGCCAAGAGAGAGCATGATACAGATAGTACTTCATTTGGTAATTTTCAGGTAAACATTGCAAGTTACAATGTTGTATATTCAATAAGTCCTCTGTAGTCGCACAACGTATATTTACAGACATCTTGGATATGTTTTGTCTTCCAATCGTTCATATAATGATAGCTTTAATATTGTTAAATTATTCGCGACGAAGTTTCTTGATACGTGAACGACCGTTTTTCAAATCATTTACAGACGACGACTCGCTCATTCCTTTCCCAGTCAATTCTCTTACAAAGCGGAATCGTGATAAAAAGAACGTCCAGACTAAGTACCAACCTGTGATAATAGAAATTATGTGATATTAATTCAATATTAAGACAAAGTAATATATAATTAATATAAAATGTATAAATTATGTTCACTAAGTTTTATAGTTTGAGTTAAGGATAACAATTTAAAATTTGGGTAAACGAGATTAAATCAAACTAATAAAGATTCAATTTATTAATTTACAGATTCAAATGTAATTTCGTACCTCAAATACATTTGAACAAAAAAAAACAATGTAAATGTGTCAGTGTAATTATGATTGTGAACAATGTGATTGTGATAATGCAAGTAAAATATGCTAATTAGAAGTAGATAAGGAAAGTAACAAAGGAAAAATAAAAAAAAATTTGCATTAATTTTATAAATTCAAAAAACGTGCTTGGGCATATCTATACACAAGTGCACATGTATAGTGTAGGGTACTTAAATAACGATACATTCAGCAATAAATAAAATAGAAGAGGCTACTTTCGCGCGATCTCCCTTGCAAGCCGAGAAACTTTCTTCCGACAACACGATTACGTCATATGATGTAATCGAACCGCTTGTGAGCAGCTTACCCATCACAACAAGGAGGAACACTATTAGTAGACTGAATATCACGGAAAACGCCGTGAGGAGGATTTCCATCGGGATTTCCATGAAGAAATAAAGGAACAAAGAAATACAAAAGAGAAAAAAAATTACACCCTATGTCGTACGCGCATAACTACATCGGCGAAAATTTCGCGCGAGTGGAATGCAATCCGTCTCGATGAAAAACGATGAAAGACTCGAGAGCGAACTTGGCACGATAACGACGCGCAGCTCCAGCTTATCCTCAGCAACAGCCACACGCCATTTTGAGAATCGAAGAGTAGAGGTTATAACTCCCACCCCCTCTCCTCCACGAGCTATTCGCAGGCGTAAATGCGCGTAAGCGTTACGTTCTGTCACGATTGCAATGCATTTTTCGTTTACGACCCTTACCAAAGTCCAACAGCAGCTCAGACAGCCGATATCACTCTCCGCGAGACTTTAAATCCCTTCCACCGGTGAACGATTCCGCCGACAGGAAATGCACCTAACCCAACGGATGCCATAAGTGCCGTGAAGTTACATCAATTTTTGGCGCGTTCGAGTCGTATATATCGTATCTAGGTACTCGTGTATCATGACTGTTGGTCATGAGCAGGATAAGAAGTGGCAACGTCTCAACAGCTGTTTTTGACATACATATATATATGTGTATGCATATGTGTGTCTATATAATATCTATATATAATTAATAATAAATACAATAATTATTATGATATAATTTCCATTTTTCAGACTAAAAGCGAGAAATGAAATCATTAAATTCCAATTCGGGAATTATGCAGTGGCATTAATGTATATATCAAAGAATCCTAGATGATCCCAAGAGGATCATCTTCAAAGCATATATACAATATATATATTTAATTTTTATTATTTATATGTAATTAAATTTTTATTTTTCAATATTCGAAAGCAACATAGTATAGTTACGCAACTTTGGCTTATATCAAAACAAAACTATCTACTTTTCCTATGTTGCAAGACAAAACATGCATTAAAATGACAGAAAAAAACAAATTATTTATTTATTTCTATTTTTTTATATTACATAAGCTACAGGTTAAATAATCAGCTTCAGATTAGCTTCTAAGAGATTAAGTATATTAAATGTTTAAATATTTGTTACTAAATATTTATTTATTTCTTATTTGAAATAAAGCATACTTATTTGTATTGTGTACTGTGCAGATAGCAATTTAAAAATATGCACAAATTTTAATAAGTATTTATATTTACTTCTAAAGATTATAATAGTTGTGCATTTTGATATTTCAACTAAAAAGTATATCTATGATTAATCCTTACATATATCTGTAATATATACAATAGTTTTACACACTATACATCTTTGTTATCTTCTTCCTCATCTGGTTCATGTAAATGATCTAATCTAAGTTCTTTTGAACGATCAACTTTAACTACAGGTCTATTCTGTTTAGATATTTTCTTCGGTCTCTGTCCAACCACATACTCTGGCAAGATAATCTTACTACTTTTGAATACTAGTTTACTGTCTTTAACATTTTTAGAGTCTTCTGCCGTATCTTTTGTCTGAGGTTTTCTAAACTTTAGTTGCGATGTTGATGTACGTTTCTTAGATTTAAACTTCACAGAATCCTGCAAATCTGATTCAGGTTCAATATCCATCTTCTCTTCGCATTGATCAACCTCTTCCTTTTCCTTGCGTGCCTTTAGTTCTTTCAGAAATGACATGGCAGCTTGCATATTGCTGCGTTCTGTCATGTCTTCGCTGGATACATCATCCAAACTATACTTGACCCATTTGTGTGGATTCCTGTGATAGTCCGGAATATTTCTAAAATTCGCGCGTGGTGCAGGGCCCTCAGGACGTTTAAAGATGCTCTCCTTGCCGCGAAATTTTTTAGTCTCTCTCTTCTGCTTATCGTCTCTCAAAGTTAAACTTCCCTCGCGTTCGTCCTTTTCAATATCGTCCGTTTCATGTGTAACACGTGTCTTACGATTATTTTCGACGATTAAAAGTTGATCAACTAATAATCTCTGTCTATTGATGAACGCTGCGAAGTCTTCACATGAAACCAAGTTAGATGCGTGCATTTTTGAAAGCGATGACACACCTCACTATAAATTATTCAATTTACATACTTAATATACATAGTCTCTTGGAAATTATTAAATAAATATATAAGTATCACACATTTCAAACCTTCAAGTCGTCAAGTTTTAACGATTGTTTTGGGTTATATCGCAGGTGCACTGTTGCCAATAGCTCTAAGTCATAATGTGCAAATGTCTAGATGGGATGCACTCGATCCGGAAATGCCTGACGTCGAAAATTTCAGAGCATGCAGCATCGAATATGTTCGCTTGACACTACGAAAATTTCGAACCAATCAGAGCAAAGAGATCTTCGCTCCTCTTGTCTCATTGGTCAGCGATTTGAAAGTTTTCATGGTGTCAAACACACCCATTTTGCCTTGGAAAGTGAACGTGACGTGTACATACGTGAAGGTGATGACAAGTGATCGTTCGTAAATGACACGGTGTAGCACTTTGCGGTACACGTAGACATGAGGCCATAACCTTTCCGCCTGTCTTCGTCACTTTACAATATTTTCCAGTTTGACGATGTAAAGCGTTCCTCCGAATTTTTTATACAAGGTGACATTTGACGAACACCGTGAAAGCTGTCGCACGATGAATCTAAGTAAAACAGAGAAATTATTAGCTGCTAAAAAAAAGGTAATATGTTACGGTTGATTAAACACGTCGTTGACAACTTTCAAAGCTCATATGTCATGTATATTCGATATAAGTAGTATGGATTAATTAATCTGTAGTGATGTAAGAGCGTTATTTTATTGTGTCACAATTTTTGTTGACATAAATTAATATGATTATAAAACTATTATCAAATCTTTAAATGTTACAAATTTTTAAAATAGAAGTTTATTTCTTATTATTTTATATAATTTTTAACTCTTGAATTTATTTTGATGAAGTTATGCCTTTTTTATGGTTCTTATTTTAGCTAAAAGAATTCCAATTACAAAAAAGATTGCAAGCACAAGGAGTCTCAAACAAGCAGCAAGATACAAATATAATAGATGAATCTATATCACAGGTAATAATTTGATAATGATATATTTAATAAATTTTATTTTGTTTCCATTAAATATACATATATAAACCTATTTAATATTTTTGTTTTATGAAAAAAAAAACTATATATATCATATAACATAACATTATGAAAATACTGTTAAGATTTTATAGTAAGATTTAGATATCTTATATATAAGAATTTTATTATTGAAATAATATTTCTGATAGTGCCAAACTATAGAAGCAGAAAAACCTTATGATCAAAATAGTCACAATGAAGTACAACACACAGAAAACTTAGCCCAATCTGAGGAACATCTGGACACAATAAATATACATACGGAAGAAGATATAATAAAACAGTTTGCTTTCTTTACTTCTTATGATGAAGAGAGAAATATAGTAAATCATGCTCTTACAGGCACTTACTTAATAGATAAAACAGAAAATAAAATAGTAACAAATGAAACAATAGAAAAGAATGTTTTGGAAAATATTATATTAAATGACAGTGGTGATAAAGATTCTATACATCTTCAGCCAGATTCACAGCTTAAAGAAAATGATGGAAAATATAACTTAAACATAGTATCTAATGGATCACCAATGGTACAAACAGAACATTTGTTAGAAATGGCTTCAGAAGTTTCTAATGTGCTTACTGATGATACAGATCATAGTGATCCATCTTTGTTTGACAATGATCTGAAATGTCGCAATCAATTTTTAACCACTTGTTTGGAAGAGCAGAAACAACTTGTGAATAATTTACACATTGAAGTCAGTCGTTATGTGAGTATAGTTTAGTTTGTAACTGTTATATTGTCTATTATATTTAATTGTATTTTTGTTATGTGCGGAATAATAGCATAGCAGAGTGGCTGAATTGGAAGGAATTCTTGCTACAAAGGATTCTGAGTTTGAAGCCAAACTCGTTCGTGAAGTAAATCCTTTGAAAGAGCAATTGCAAGTTCATACACAAACTACTGGTATTCTAATAGCAGAAAAGGCAGAGCTTACAGCAGCTTTAGCACAGAGTCAGAGAACTGCAAAACAAAATGCAGGTTAATATTTCAGACATTTGTAATATCTGAATGTTTAAAATTTATCCTGAAAATTATTAATTAAATTATTAATTAAATTATTAATTATTAATAATATTATTATAATTAATTCTAACTTAAATGAGAATATATAAATCAGTCATCATCAAGCATTGATGTACATCATTCAACACACTTAAAGGCTCATATTTAAATATTCTAACTTTACTCACAGATTTTCTAAAAACAATCTACTGATCTACTTTACTTTACTTTAAATGTCTTTGATATTTAGAGGAATTAGAAGAGATGAATGGAAAACTGAAACATAGTCAGCTTCGTATTAATGAGCTTGAAAAAGAATTAGCTCAAACAAAAAATAATTCTACTGACACTCAGAAAAATGCTCAGCAAATACAACAGATCTATGATGAGCTTGAAAAAAAATATCATGAACTCAGGTATTATATATAGACATTAAATCTTTTTTTGCTGAAATAATTTAAATACATATTGTGAAATAATTTATTTTCAGAAAAGAAAAGGAAGATGTGGAATTAGAAACTTCAGAGTTAAAACAAAAGTTGAATTTAAAGAATACTGAGTTTATTAATTTGCAACAAGAATTTCAAGAAAAAGCAGCTTTACTTTCTTTAAATGAATTAAGAATACAACAGGTAATTCTGTGTATGATTATTTTTGAAGATTGCAATCTTATCTCTCCCAAAATTAATACAAATAATTTCATTACAGTTAACTGATACATCACAAACATTAGAATCTCAGCATCAAACTGTCACAGCACTAGAACAACAATTAGATCAAATGAGAAAAACTTTGCAGTTAGTGAATAATGAAAAGGATGATAATAGTAGACGATGTCAAAGTTACATACGACAGTTGAGTGGACAGATAAAAGTATTGGTCGAGGAGGTACATATAAATACTCTATTCATAAAAAATAAAATTATAAAAAACTTTAATTGAATAATTGCAGATTCAAAATGGACGTGAAAAAATCAATGAATTAGAAAACAGAGAGAAAAGTTATGTACAACGTTTATCAGATTTAGAACAGCAACTTCAACAAGAAAAAGAAAAAAATGAATCTTTACTTCCATTGCAAAATCGTAATGATGAGATAAATAATTTCAAGAAAAATATCGAGGAATTAACCGCACAGGAGGCAAAACTTCAGACCATGTTATCCGAAAAAGTAAAAATATGCACATAAAATAGTAGCTTATAAAAAATTTGTAGAAAAAATTTTTGATAACATAAAACAATTTTAGGAAATGGAAATTGAAATGTTAGTAAAAGAAGTGCAAGAATTACGGGATACAAAAGATGATGGAACAGATGCAGTAAAATTGGTACAAGCTCTTGAAAGTGAAAAACTTGGCGCATCTAGAGCTGTTTCACAAAATCAACAATTGAAGGAGCAATTAACTGAAATGGAAAATGCTTTTGTCACGTTGGTGAGTAATGAAGCTACACAATATAATTTTATTTTTAATTGTAATTGTTTTCTAGAAAAAATTTAGCATGTATATTTTTGTTCATTGAAAAAATATTTTCTAATTGAACAATTGTTTTCTTTTTCAGAGCAATGCTAAATTAGATTTGACAGAACAACTTCAAGCTGAAAGAAATATTGGCAGAAAATTAAATGCAAAATTGAATATTGTTGAAACCGAAATGGATAATTTGAAGGAAAAATTAAAAGAAAAAGAAACATCTTTAATAGAATTGGAAAAAGAAAAATTACAAAATGCTCAAATTGCAGATCAAATGCAACATTATCAAGCTCAATCTCATCATGCCCACACACTCCAACAAGAGTTACAAAATTCTTTGGTAATTTCTGAAATTTTCAATAATTTGTTAATTTATAAATTAATTTATAATCTTTCTTATATTTTTTTTCCATATAAAAACAATATTTCAATATAATAACTTTATTTGTAAAATAAATTATAGTAATATTGCTTACATATTTACAATTTACATATTACAGATTTGTATAGAGAATTTAAAAAAAGAAAATGAAGAACTTAAAAAGGAGTTGGAAAATAAAATACAAGAAGAGACATGTTTGAAAAATTCCGAAGAATTTGCGAATGTCGACAAAAATCAATCGATAATTGAGAATGAGCAAAACCATGATGACAATGTAACAACGGAAAACTTATCACTGCCAGGAAATAAAGATGCTTTAAATGTTTCTGAGCCTATTATAAAATTAGAAAAGAGGTTTAAGGAAACGATGGAAAAAGTTGCTGAATTAACTGATGAAAAGCAAAAATTGGAACACCTTGTTCTTCAACTTCAAGGTGAAACAGAAACTATAGGTATGTTATATATTTAATCAAAGAATTAATTTCTCAAATATATATTTATAACATGTATTATTTGAAAATATTAATTTTTATTCTTGTTATATTACATAAGTGTAAGTTTTGTATGAATTACATTGATACATTATAAGATCAATTTATCTTAATTAATTACATATATTTGTATAGGAGAATACATTACTTTATATCAAAAACAACGAGCAATTCTAGGAGAAAGATGGAAGGAAAGAGAGCAAACCTTCCGTCAATTACTAGAACAACGTAATCAACAACAACAACAGTTACATAAATTAAAAGTATTAGTAACTGAATTGCTTAAAAAACACCCTGAAACATTGATAAATTCTACAGAAACTATGGATTATCATAAAAGTAAATATATATTTAATACACAAAATTTCTTTTTTAAATTTTTAAATAATATTTGAAATATAAATATTATATAATTTTTTAAATAATTTAATTATAATTATATTTATTGTCTTTACAGAAATAAACACTGACAATCCTATGTTATCTGAAAATAAAAAGCAAGAAAATGCAGAATTGCCATTAATCGAAGATAAAACAGCGTCAGAAATTCTTGATGTTCTGACAGAAATCAAAGACTGTAAAGATGCATGTATTATAGAACCTAATTTTCATCCATGTCCATGGTGCTCTGGAAGGCTAATTACCGTGTAATCACGAGTAATTTATTTTAATCTTGTTATAATAATAAAATATCACATATTTGTATAATATATAGTTATTATAGAAAACATAATACTTGTATATATAAAATTCTAGATCTTTTTTAAACTTCTGTATCAATTTCTTGTAAAAGGACAAATGTAAGATTTTTGTCTAAAAAGAATTGCTTTATAAATATACAGTGCCTTGAATAATTTTGCTTTGATAGAATTTTTCTCTTATATTTGTGTCAAGAAAATAATATGGAAAGAATGTTTATCAATTTTCTTTTTTGGTAAATAAATACTCAGTATTATTATGAAATTTTTATTTTTTGTATTAATTAAAAACATACATATTATGCCTTCAAAGCATACTTTCTCTGTGGAAATGCAGAACGTTTGCGTATTTCTTTCAGTGTTTTTCTGCTTGCCTGATAAGGAGTAAGAACACGACGCAAAGCCCTAGTTTTCTTGGGCCTCAAATCAAGAGGTTTGTATTTTTTATTTTTATAAAACAATCGGAGATTTCCCTTTTGCTTCTGGTGCATAATAATATACACTCGTGCAATAGCCTTCCTTACAACACGACTGTAATAAAAATTAATATTTGAGATAGATTCATAGAAATACATAACTTATATTGCACAAAAATATTATACTATTACAAATAAATATTACACAATATTAGACTAAAATTAGTTTCACATAGAAAACTCACATTTTAGACAATTTTGACGCAGCTCCTCCTGTTACTTTAGCCACTCTTAAAGTAGTCAATTCTGTCTTGAGTTGCTCGAGTTGTTTCAGCAACTCCTTTTTGTCCTTGGTCCTCAATTCAGAACACTTTACCTTCACCTAAAATAACACATGTTGAATGCATCTTTACATATTAAACACTATTGGAGTTTGAAGTGTAGACACATTATTATTAAAAATTTGATTAAGTTTTATTTTTTCCATGAGATAATACTATCCAGAACACAGATTTTTTATTTTTTTAATCCATAATTTAACAATTGTAAGACGCTATTTATGACTGTGTTTCAAATAGGTTACGTGGTGCAATTTTTCTTACGAATAAAATTGAAAGAAAAATTAGCAACCCATTAATTAAATCATATTTATTGCATAGTTTTTATGGAATGAACGAAATCTATTAGCCATTGATGTTTTACGTAAATTCGGATTATTATTTTATACATTTACTAACCATCTTGAACCGATTTCCTTTCAGCAAGAAAACGTAAAAAGATGGAGAAGGAGCTGCTGAGACGTGACGTGCTGCAAAATTACTAACTAGAAACAGAATAACCAACATAAAAAGGGCACTATGATCTTTCTAGAATTTTAGTAAAATAACTTAGCGTTTCATTGACCAATCCGAGTAAAAGAAGCAAAAATTTCGTTATTCTGATTGGTCAATCAAAATGGTACTTTATAATGAGTAAATAAATATTGAATACAATCAATCTAGAGAAAAGTGATAATCAATGGTATGAATCACTACACGTCTACCCGTCTAGCAATTTTTAAACGCACTGGTATTCTAAAGAGCACGACAATCAAGTAAAGAAGTAGAGTATAAACAACATGGGAAAACACGAAGTAGGCACACCAAAATATATTGCTAATAAGATCAAAGCTAAAGGATTGCAAAAGTTGAGATGGTACTGTCAAATGTGTCAAAAACAGTGCCGGGACGAAAATGGATTCAAATGCCATACAATGTCAGAATCGCATCATCGCCAGCTGTTGTTATTCGCTGAAAACGCTCATCGATATATGGATCAATTCTCACGAGAATTTTCTCAAGGCTATCTGAATTTGTTAAAGAGACAATTCGGTACAAGACGGGTGCCAGCGAATCGAGTATACCAGGAATACATTTCTGATAGAGGACATATACATATGAATGCAACCCAATGGCTTACTTTAACAGCATTTGTCAAATGGCTTGGACGCACTGGACAGTGTGTTGTGGATGAAACAGAAAAAGGTTTGTTATTAAAATTAATGTTTATAATTCTTAACAAATGAGAAAATTATCTATCAGTTTTGTACATTTTAAATTTCACATTCTTTAATTTTTTCAGGCTGGTATATAACATATATTGATAGAGATCCTGAAACACTCGCTGCACAGGAAAAAAAAGCGAAGAAAGAAAAAATGGATAAAGATGATGAGGAGCGACTGATGGATTTTATTGAAAAGCAAATAGAGAGAACAAAACATGATGTACAAGAAGAGGAGAATGAGTCCAAAACGCCATTAATGCGTTCTGAGAATGATGCACCTTTAGTTCTTGATATAAAGTTAAAACCAAAACCAAAATTACTACCTGTACTCAATATAAAGCAAGAGAAAAAAAGCGAAGATTCTAATAACCAGGATATACCAATTTCCAGCAAATCACTTGATGAAAAAGATAAGAAATTAAAAAGATTCAATGATGATGAGAAGACATGCTCTATCAAGAAGTTAAAGAGTGACAATGATCCCTCTGCGATTGAAGGTTGGCTTAAAAAAGGTTTAATAGTTAAGGTAGTCACGAAAAGTCTGAGTGACAAATATTACAAAGCTAAAGGTGTTGTTCAATCAGTTGAAAATGATGGCTTTGTCGCTAAAGTGAAACTAAAGACACCCGAAGAAGTTAATGGACATATTATACGATTGGATCAAGAATACTTGGAAACAATAATTCCTGCAATTGGCAAAGAGATCCTTATTCTTTGGGGAAAGCATAAAGGCAAGGTAGCAATAGTGAAAAAATTACATATAGAACATTATAGTATAGATGTTGAACTCAAAAAGGATAAAAAAATTATAGAAAAGCTCCCATATGAACAAGTATGCAAATATGTAGATTGAAGAACAATACTGTGTGGAAAAGAAATATTAGAAAAAATACAATATATTTTAATATCATTGATAATATTTTGTATTACTTACTGCGTTACTCTAAAGAGCACCTGTGTACAAATTTGATAATTAATAAGGTATGAAACATGGAACTTTATATATATGAAATTTTTTACAATTTAACAATTTTTAAAACAACTTTTGTAAAATAATTTTAAGACCTTTATTGAATATCAACTGCATTGTCAATTAATTATGTTATTTATATTAGTCTTTTTTTAATACATTAGTTTGTACATACATGTAAGACAGAATAAAATACAGGGAAATTATAAAGTATATTATAAAGAATATCTTATATAGATAATAAAACATTGTAATTTAAACATCATATTACAATGACAATTTTAAGATATATTTGCTCTCTTTTATTTAAGGATTTTATTATACATAGTTATTTAACAAAACCATATACTGTAGAATGAATTTTACATTACTTAAAAGAAAAAAGGAATTTGGAGGAATTAAAATATATTTATATTTATAAAATTTATATCAATATTTACAAATTACACACAATAAATTTTATTTAAAAATTGGTAGGAAAAAATTCCAATTTTAGTTTTTCATATATTTTGTAAAAAATATGTATACACAATAATATTAATATTATTTATCTATTACACGAGTTAATCTTATTCTGTTTATAACAATATCTAATGCAGATTAAATGAATAATATCAATAGGAATATTTCTGTACAATAGATAGAAGAAACTAAAATATAAATAATTAAATATAATACATAAAGAGTTCTAATTAGTTTTGTAAATCATTTGTTCACGCATATATGGTATTGGGAAACTTTCCTTATCAAGTAAAATAATACGGCCATTAACATTAAATAATATATTTCCTGTATGTTTACGTTTAAATATCGGCATAGCGGTGCCTTCGCCAAATGTTACTATATGTTTTTCACACAATATCGAACGCACAAATACAGCTTTATATAATTTTTCTGCAGGACTATAATAAATTCTAAATGGAATTATTCTACAGCATACTATAACCGTGATGGTTAGAGCAAGAGAAAAGAGCAATATGGCTGTCCTAGCTGATTTACTTAGAGACGATGCGTAAGCACTAGAGATAAATGTTAATTTTTTGTGTTCTTCCACTGGTGGATTTTTGTAAATCAGATATCCCATAAAAACTGTGCAAAAAATAATACCTAGCCATGCAGTATTATATGCAAGAGTAATCATTACATTCATAGCTCTTTGCTCTCTATATATGAGTTTATAATTATTGCTTATATTATCTTTAAGTCTAAATTTCTGTTCTGCAATAATATTTGTTTTATTAGTTTGATGCATGTAACTTTTTGTGATTTTAGTTACAGATCCAAGAATTATATTTTTGTGAAAAGCAGCTCGGCATAAAATGGAAGTCTTGTTCAAAATATAGGCCATTGTATAACAGCAATATTCTGTAACTGTAAATTAAATATATTCTGGTATACACAACATATATATATATATAGAATTTATTAAACTTGTAATTAATGTATACACAATTATATTTTTAATATTATATAATTATTTACATTTACAAAAATTACTACAGTTACATGTATTTCACTATATATAATAATAATAATAATAAACAATATATAAAATAAACAATTATTTATAAATATAATTGTATATATATTTAATATATTTAATCTTAAATTCTTGACAAGTACATTAAATCAAACTATATTTTTAAGAATCTCTCTTTTCATGCATATTTTAAAAATACGAAAAATTTAATAGAATATAAGTAAAGTGATAAAGATGTTATTATCCTATCAGTTTTTAATTAAGTCTAAAATATGAGAAATATTCACTCACATTTGTACAAGTCAAATATTCCTCAACAATGCAATGACACCCTTTACATTCTAATAAATAGATATTAATAAAATCATATCACGCGTGAAACATATATCGTCGACACGTTTCATCAAAATAAGGTTATCTGGCAACTGCAATGTCTGCAACACTTGCAGTTCCATGCGTTATATTGGGTCTGTTCTTTCTAGCTGTATTGTTGCACTAGTGTAATTAGTTAGAGTGAAAGAAAATATGTTTGTCTCTTTCTAACTTATTGCACCAGTGCAGCTGAAAAGAACAGACCCATTATTTTATTCTTTTCTACCAATAGTCCCGATCTACAATAAGTAATTTAAGCTAGAGAACCTCTAGGAGAGAGAATGGACAACTGATCAAGCTTTTTCATGATTGGCTGGCAGAAAATGTATCAATTTTAGCTATTGCGACGCCAATGCAAAATATCATACACAAATAGGTTTTAACCTATTTGTGTGTATCATATTTTGCATTGGCGTCGCAATAGCTAAAATTGATACATTTTCTGCCAGCCAATCATGAAAAAGCTTGATCACATGTCACATGATCAGTTGTCCATTCTCTCTCCTAGAGGTTCTCTAATTTAAGCCCTAAGCCTTAAGAAATTGATCAATTACAGTCGAATATTCTCTTCATACTCGACTGTGATTGGTCAATTTCTTAACTCTTAGGTCTTATTGTCTTATTGTAGACCCGTCCTTAAGGTTTAAATTATCTATTGTAGACCCGGCTTTAGAATCAGATTAGATTAGTAATCGACGCCATATTTCTTCCAACCGAGAACAACGAATTGCGGTCACATTGCGGTACTTTATTATCTAGTGACTTTATACGTCTGCTGAAGCGAGATGGCCGCTCTCAAGTTTCTCTCTGATAATAATTCGGATTCGGATGCAGAATTAAAAATAAATACGGAATATGCCAAGATTTATAATAATTTTCGTCAAAAGGAAGAATTACATAAATGTGAGTATAAATCTAACTATAACCCTAATTTCCAAAAGAACACAGAAGTAAAAATACTATTATTTATATAAAACAGCATATAATTATAGTTTGCTATGTAAAAGATTAACATATTTAAGTTATAAAAAATATTTTAGCAATACTATTTATAATTAATATTAACTCAATAATATTCAGTTCATATAATTTATAGATTAAAGGTACAATAAAAGACAATGTGTTTTATATATTAAGTCAAAGATATATATTTTCTAAAACTTTATTAATATTTTTTTTTACAGTAAAGACAAAATATGGAGAGGATGCAGCTTCAGATGAATCCAGTGACAGTAGTTCATCAGATGATGAAAATGTATGTTGACTTTTTTAAACAAATTGTTAATTGCTCTTATTATTGCGTATTTTTTAAATATGTTAAATTTTTTAACTAAAATAAAAAAATTTGTCTTTGATTTGTGAGCTTCATAACAAATTTAATTATATATAATAATGTGCTAATTGATCCCAAACAATTTTTTTTTTAGATCCACAATCCACAATTTGATAAAGAATTTCTTATAACTTTGGCTTGTTTAAAAAGTGAAGATCCACGAATATATGATGAAAAAGTTAAGTTCTTTAGTGATATTGTCAAATCTGGAACATCAGAAGACACTGAAGCAAATGAACAAGGAAAGAAGAAATTAAAGAAAGAGAAAGCTCTTTTTTTACGCGACTATGAACGCAAGATTATAATGGAAAAAGATGGACATTTCAGTAGCAGCGAAGATGAAGACAATGCAGAACCAAAGGTTAAATCCAAAATGTCCACTTATGTAGAGGAACAAAAACACTTAAGAGATAGCTTTAAACATGTTTTAAAAGACGAAGATGAAAATGAAGATGAAGATCTCCTAAAAATAAAACAAAAAACAGACGATGAAAAGTATAAGGTATTTAATTATTAATTATTTTTTATTATATGTAAAATTATATGTAATACAATTAAAGATGTAACATGAAGAAGATGCTATGGATTAAACAACATAATTTTACTTATAATATCATTGTAAAATTGTCATCGTCTTACTTCTTTAGGAAGAGGAATCATATAAGGAATGGTTGAAAGGTCAACAGGTAAAGATAGATCCCAAGGATGAAGAAGTGCTTAAACCATTGCGTGAATTTTGGACAGATCCTAATTTAGATGCAAATGAAAAATTCTTAAGAGATTATATTTTAAATAATAAATATGCAAATAAAGAATTCTGTGATACAGACTTAGAATATAATCAAATAATTCACGATAGTGATGAAGATTTGTCAGAAGATGAAAAAACTATTGAGAAACAAGAGGAATTTGAACACAAATACAATTTTAGATTTCAAGAACCTGATCAAGAATTTATCAAAAAGTATATTTTATTAAATGATTATATGTTAATATATAATTATATGTTTACATATATATTTATATATGTTCACTACACATTATAGTACAAATGTATTATATATTTTCTTTTTATTTGTGAAATTTTATTAAGGTATCCACGAACAATGGAAAATTCAATGCGAAAGAAAGATACACGCAGAGCACAGAAAAGGGCAGAAATTAGAAAGAGAAAAGAGGAAGAAAAGCAACGAAAAAAGGAAGAACTGAAGCAATTAAAAGCACTAAAAAGAAAAGAAATAGAAGAAAAGATAGCAAAATTAAAAGAAATCACAGGTAAGATGAGATTGTTCAGTTTTCAAATACTTGTAAAACTTGTATGAAATTTTTTTATTCAATATGTACATATATATTAATTATAGGAAATAATGATATGCATTTTGATAATGTTGATTTTGATGCTGATTTCGATCCAAATCAACACGACAAAAAGATGAAAGAACTTTTTAACGACGAATATTATACTGGTGGTCAAGACGAGGAACAAAAGCCAGAATTCCCGGAAATCGATGATGAATTGGGTATTGAGCCTACATGGGATAAATATGACCCAATAACAGATAAAATTGATATGGAAGCTACACTGTATGAAGAACCTCATTGTGAAGATCCAGATTTTAATGTGCCTACTATAAATTTTATCTATATATATTTTGTCAATATATTTCATTAACATATTTTATACAGAAATTTTACTGATTACAGATGGATGCTGATTACGATGAATCTCGAGATTTGCAGTCCGAACTAATTGAAAATACGAAAAAAAGAAAACGAAGGAGACGCTCTAAATTCGCTGAACTTATTGCAAAGGAGAAACCAAAATTTGATCCGAAACAATATTCTTCTTACGAAGAGTATTTTGACCAATATTATTCATTGGATTATGAGGATATGATTGGAGATTTGCCTTGTAGATTTAAATATAGAAAAGTTGTGCCAAACGATTATGGATTAAGTGTTGAAGAAGTAAGACTTATATAAAATTTTATTAAAAAATATTAAGTTTTATAAAATTATTTGTAAAATAACACTAATTTTTGTAATTTAATTTAATATATATTTTGTATTTCAAGATTTTAATGGCTGATGATAAAGAATTAAACAAATGGTGTCCTTTAAGAAAAGCTCTTAAATATAAATCAGAATGTGCAGAAGAGAATGATGTTCGAATGTACAAACAAAAGGCTGCAAATGAAGCAAATAAACGAAAAATCCTTCAAAGTTTGTATATGTAAGTATCACATATACAATTAAAAATATACATGATATTTATTAGATTGTATATTTCATTGTATACTAATTGCATATTTTTGTATAGCAATCCAGAAGAAAAAGATGAAGGAAAAGATGAAGCTATCATCGAGCAAGCTAATACTAGCAGTAAAAAGCGCAGGCAAAAGAAGAAAATTAAGACCAATGGTCCTAATGTGAATTTTATTAATACCGAAACTGTTTCTAAGACAAAAATGAATGTTGCAAAAAATAATTTGCAGAAAAATTCTCATAATAGTAAAAATGATGAACAGGATGCACAAAAGATAAATGTGGTGAATAAGAATGAGAAGCAAAAACGAGAAAACAAATTAAGAAATGATAGTGACAATTCTAATCCTAAGAAAATGAAAATAGATAAAGCAGAAAGAAAAGATTCTCAGACAGAAACGGATAATGTTAGTATTAATGTAGAAAATAATGGAAAAATAACATCCTTCTCTGCCGAGAAATCTACAATCGCTCGGAAGAAAAACAAGAGTAAGAATTCTCAATTGAATAAAACGAAAACCAATAAACGCAAACTAGATAACGATAATCCAATAATGTTCTTGGAAGAAGAAAGATTAAAGACGTATGGAATAAATGCTAAGAAATTTAAAAATAAGTTGAAATATAGCAATAAAAAATTTTGAACATTTTGTATCTGTGTATATATTTATAGATATGATTTTAAACATTTCTATACAGTATATAACACACACGGAATACATATATAATATTTTTCCGCTTTAGTATTTTTAATTTTATTTCTTCTATATCTTTAATTACACTACAAAACTAAAGCGAAAGCTAGATGAATATGTCGATTATATACGTAATTTGATGAAGGCAAAACATACGCATATAAATACAAGGGTGAAGAGGGGACAACAGTCGGCGACTGCGCGCACCCTGCGAGTAGGAGTGGTCTCTGGGGTTAAGGCGGATCCGCTCTCAGATGATAAACGACATTTGCGGATTATTAGGATCGTAGACTGTTGTTTGTGTTTGCTTTTCCTCAATTTCCATTTCTAATCCGGCCCGTATGCTTCAGTCGGGAGAAAAATGCACCCCATTGATCCTGTACAATGTACAGATTTCACTTACTGAGTGTTCGTATCTTTTTTTTCGATTGATTGAAGAGACACTGTATAATTATAATTTTAAAAATTTTAATGATAGACCACAATTATTTTCATTTTTTAAAAGTCAATTTTCGAAGTACATGATCTTTTCAGAAATATTTGTATTAAACTGATCAATTTCATTTTTTGTAACTTCCTTAATTTTAGTACTATAGCATTAATCATATGTTTTGATGCTAAAATTAAAAAATTTATTTAAATATTCACATTTAAATAGAGATATATTTTTTTAATTATATAATATTTCACGTCGATTTTTTTTATAATGCTAAAAAATAAATAAAAATCTGTTAGTAAATTGAATAAACTGTAGCTGCAATTTTAAAGAAAGATTCGATTGAGAAAAAGGATAGTTGTAACAATATCGTATCATCGATAATGTATTCGCGATGTCTTTTAAGAATTTTATTTAACGGGAGGGGACAACGGGACACATTGGTCGGCATCCATTCGAACCGGTCCGTACTCAAGCCCTCTTTTTTCCCCTGGGCACAATAAATCAATCCCTTTAGCTCGAGATGAGAGTACCGTAGTAGCAGGTGGCTCGTGACGGCTACCTACGTTCGCGCCCTTAATTCCCAATTAATGTTATCCTCGATGTAAACGGCCTCTGTACATCCCCCTTATTCACAAGATCCATACGTTCGAATATGTTTTCTTATAAATGATGTATCGAATAAAACACCGTGAGTGTCACTAGAATGTGCGCGATCATTTTATGAAGAATTCTTTAATAATATCTCAAGTTTTTAATTGAATTTTTATCTCGTACAAAAATAAAATATATAGTACAGTGTCTGTATAATAATTTTTTAACTTGAAAATACAGAAAGTATTAAAAAAATTAATTTTTAAATAATAATTTAAAGAAAAACACAAAATTTGCGCATGTATGTGAAAAAGTACCAAATATGAAGTATCATATATGCATTTTGATTAAATATACATACAACATTAAATATTAAATATTACATAAATATTAAATAATTTACATAAAACATAAATTGTATAAAAGTAAATATTAATGTTATATATAAAAGTTATATCACTCACTAAGGGTTTATAGAGGATTTATAAAGGATTTATACAGAAAAAAAAGTCGGGAAGAGAATTTGAGAATCGCGCAAAGTTTCATCTAACGAATCATACATGTAATTGATTGGGAATAGGAAGCTTCGACCAAGTTCGAAGCTATTAAATTACGGGAAGACCGAATTTCACGGGCTAACGCCTCCATCTGGATAGTAGTCGACCAGGATAAGTGCACTTGGGGTAGTGTAATTGACACAATATCCCCGTCGGCGTTCTAATTGGCGGAAAATCGTCGGGGTGAACTCGGTCATCGGATTCTCGTTAACCGATCGGACACTTAAACACTTTGCAATATTATTTCTCTTTTTATTTTTGATATCACTAAAATAAAAATGTAAGTTTTTTTTAAATAAGAAAGCAAGCATTATAAAATTAATTTCGCTCTATACAAATCACATGCAATTACTATGTTTATAAAAGTCGGAAAATTAAAAAAGAAATATCAATCATATATTTATGAAAAGATATAATACACTTTATATTAAATATTTCAACTTTTGTAATATATATTTTTCTATGAAAAAGATTTAACATATATGATAGTAAACGCTTTTCCTTTTTGCATCACAAATATACACAAAACATACATAGTTATGAAAATAATTTTATGAATTTTCTTATTTTAAAATTTTTACAGATCAGTAAAACATGATATGCGAATATTTGCATTTATTAATAAGCATTTATAAATAAGTTGTAAGAGTATTAAGTGTAGTAAGACTTGTCTCATCAAGTATTATGGAGGAATTTTTTGTTGGATTTGACTGTGGTAGATCTCCGACTTGGATGAGAATTACGAGATACGTAGTGACTGAACCAATAACCTGGAAAAAAATAGAAGATTTAATAATTTTTATTATATCTTTTCATTTAAAAATTCTCATTTCTCTTCCTCTTTTTCTCAGACATATATTTGTTACACATCCTAACATCACGTTACATATACGAGACTTTTATAACTTTTCATAGTTGATTATCTTAATTAGGAGAAATTAAAAGATTCAGACTAAACTATAAAATGATAAAAATTAATTTATGAAAAAAGATGTTATTGAGATGGAAATTAAAATAAAGTAGGTCAATTACATCGACAACAGATCGTAAGAATCCAATACATATATCTTCAAAGCTATTACTTTATATTCGAATATTAAATTTAAATAAAATTAACATAATTTACCCCATGAATAAATGTATGATCCAGATTGAAAAATCCACACGCCGTAAAGATCAACGGATTTTGTATCAGTTGTAAAGTAAAATCCCGTATCTAAAAAAGTCAAATATTGATTTCCGTATTCTTATGTCATATTTAATTAAAATATAAAATAAGAGACTTGCCTCCGCGCGAAATTCTTTACTGGTGGATGGCTCGTACAGTTCGCAGATTATGTCACCTGTATTTGCGGCCTGTGGAAATTGTGACGAATGTACTTAAACATTACAATTGTGCATTTTATATATAACATAATTTATTTCTTTTTTTTAACATTCGAGGAATTTAAGATACTCAATATTTTAATTAAAAAAAGATAAAAACATGTTAAAGACTACTTTTAAATTATGAAAACTTTTTCGATGCTTGCCTCAGTGCTCGCCAAAGCGCACATATGATTTATTATAAGGACTTTAGAAGCGTAGAACAAAATCCAGCCGATGACCGGTACCATCTCCTGTCGGAATATCTCTCTGCTGAGGGGCATCCAAAAAATCGAATAAGCATAATACAGGAGGCTAGTGATGAACACGAATGATATCGTCATAGAGCAGAGGATCTGTATGCCATATGCTTCGTTCGTGCACCTAGTGGCCTTGATTAATTCCAGATGAACTTGCCTTCGTTCAATATAAAGAAGACGAAATTGTCAATTAGCGCCGACAAAATCATTTAAAAGAAACACAACATTATATTATAAAATTACGTTGGAAGGAAAAATAAATAGTGCAATAATATAAATCGTAGATCATAAAATCAAACAGAGAATTTATTTAGAAATAATATATGATTATGTTTATACATATATACACACTTGCTATATATATTTTTGAGCGTGCAAAAACCGTGTAAAAGCTTTTATTCAAATATGCATTGGAGTAAACATCTCACTTGACAGCCCTCATAGTGTTGGTGTTTTCCTCGGACCTACGGTCCTGTTGCGTTACGGATGTGGAGGTTTTATTCCACTCGTCTTTCATTTTGAGCACTCTCTTGTGCTGCGGTGAATCGGGGGTAGTAGTTAACATACGTTGCAACAGATTATTTAACTGCTCGAATCGGAGTTTGGCATACCTTTAATTAATTTTTCGTATAATCACGACAAGAGCGAATTATGAGAAATAAAGTATCGATTATTTAATATATAATTTAATAATTCAATAATAATTATATTTATTTCGTTAAAAAATGTCATAAATATAATGTTATAAAACTTTACAATTTAGAGCGACCTTATAGTTATGATTTGCACTATAAATGATCAGTCTAAAATTATAAGAAAAATTTTTATATTATTTTAATATTTACTATGTGTTTATGTTCTTTATATTAAATAATTTTTATATTTTTATAAATGAGGAGAGATCAAGAGAGAATTCGTTTAACACGATACACGATTAGATTAATTTTTATATTGTTATATTTAACAAAGCTCTCCTCATTATATTATTTGTATATTCAAAGCAAATTATCGTACCTGATCCACTGCAAAAACGACACATCGCTCACGTAAAGTAAAGCGATAGGATAATTTATAGCAAGCATAAGAACGATTTTGACATGCATGGGTGTATCTTTAACGAACATTCCATCATAACTGATTATAATGAAAATGATAAATGTCAGCACAATAAATACGAGCGCGTAAAGTTGATTCAAGTATAATTTCCGATAGTTCTTTTGTATTCCCATTTGCTCCATTGTTTTTTCGCACATCATGATGCGCATTAGAGCCATCTTCATATACTAAAATTAAAATAATAAGATACTAGTTGATGTTGATAATAATAATGTTGATAATAATTATATTTTTATTTGGAAATAGGACAATTTGAAATACTAGACAGTTAAATTTGTATTTAAGAGCTTATTTTAAATTTTTAAAATTGAATAAAAAGAGATGTATTTTAGATTTAAAATGTCTATGATATATATCTAAAGTTAATTATGTTAGATTTTTTTTATACTTTTAAGATGTTACTTTTTTGTTTTAAGATATTTTTAATCTTTTAAAATTACCTTTTTCCTCAACCAGCCACTAGGAACAAGAAACAACGTGGAACACATGTTGGCATAGAACATTGCTCGAAATGTCATCAGGCCGAACTGATTTGACTTTTGCGTGTAGTAAATATATATATATTCGATCGAATATCTCATTAGAACGCAATAGCTCACCAAACAGATGAACGAATACGCGAAATTCAGAATCCTTCCACGTTTGTTGGTCCAAATTCCGATCCCAAGGGCAAAGTTAGCCACGAGCAGTGGCATGATCATCTCATGCATAGTCTTCGGTTGGAACATTTTCGATAATTGTAACATTCGTCGACCTGAACGAATAGCACTTTTTGTCAATTGTGAACGTACACACACACACATACATATACACGCGTGCACACACGGCTATCTCGCACCTGAGAAATAAACGATGAATATCGAGGGTGACTACGTGTCGCTTTGCGTGCTCTAGTGCAGACAGCGTAATGCTAAATGCTTGATAAGTGGTCGATGATATTACGACCAAGGATAGTTGAACAAGTGGCGACGGCACGACCCAAGTAAAGGATGTTCGCGATATTGTGATGCGTTTACGTCCCGAAGGATTCGTCCATCTCACGATCGATATTGACCCACAAATATATTGCGTGAATAGCCTTCACTATTCTTACAAATAAAAATACTGTTTTTCGAAATTTCTTAATTGTCTCGTTCTTCGGGAAAAGACGTATTGATGTTAATTTCTAAAATATATAAAAGAGAAAGGAAAATAGATAAGTTAAGAGAGAATTTTGAATTGTAGAAACTCATATACGTGTTTCAGAAAATTATGATTATTTTAAATCATCAAAAAAAGATGAGCATTATTTTAAATAAAAAAAATTAACTTAAGAAATTAATAATCAAAAGATAAGATCCTATAATCCTTTTAATAATCGAAAAAAATTTTTTGAATTTCGATTATTAAAAGCCAGACGCGGTATGTAGTGCATCAGTTTCATAGAAAATTAATTTCTCTGAAAAAAGTTATTTATATTTAAGAAATATAGAAAAACGCAATGTATATCAAATTTAATTCAATGATGTTAATTTGTAAAATGTTAGAAAATATGACAATTACAATTATTGATAAAATTATTATAAAATGTAATAATGAATTTAGACAAATGATAAAACGAGTAAAATAAGCGAATATATCGGCTGCCCGTGATCTTATAATGGATGAATACCCACGAGACTTTACCAGGGAGATCGATATTGTGCGAAGTATCAAGCTAAAAGCTATTTTATTAACGATGAGAGAGACGACAATGGGAGAGTTAAAAATATCAGTATGTAGCGTAATTGTAAAATACGAATTTAATATACAATAGAATGTTGATAATTTTTTTTCTTATATTATCAAATTATTCTAGTAATTTAAAGAAAATTAATATTTTGTATCTAATTATCTGATTAATATTTTATATTTAATTATTTCTGCAAATAACTATTTTATTAGAACTATTTAATTTAATAATTACTTATATTTATTGTGCATATGAGTAAAGAGCTTCAAATTCAAAAAGTCATATACTTTGATGTAGATCTCTGATAACACTGCTAATGTGTAGTAATAAAGGGAAATGAGGAGCGAAAATGAAGATGAAGAACATATAGTACATAATGACTTGGCATACTCATTTCGAATGTGTTCATATATGATCGTGTAATATTTTTACATCCAAGGTTTGGTCATGGTTGCGAACGAACAATTGATTTTTAAGTCGAAAGTATTAGACATACAAAAAGAAAATATGATATGCAAAAGTAGTTTCAATTTTATTATTGTAATAAAGTAGAATAAAAAGAATTGCGCGATATCATCTGTTCAATTAACTACAATGTGTATTCAGTTTAGCGTAAGAAGTCTAATTCTAAAGTTTAATGGCAAAAAGTAAAAGAATCTATTAAATATTTTATAGAGATAAAATTATGTTATAAAGATAAAAAGAAATAAATTGAATATCTTAAATAAAATAGTTCCAAATTTTCATAATTCTCATGTTTTATTTTATATAACTTTTATATTTATTACATTTATTTGTGATATATGTTAATTCTTTCATAATTTAAACTATAATTTTCTAAAATATTGTGTTATTATTTACATTAATATCTATCTAATTCTCCTTAAATATATGTATATTAAATATGCATTTATTTAAAATTTATATTATTTTGAATAGCTTCATTCGATTCCAATGAGTTGCTCATTTGTATCATGATAACCAAATAGGTTGTTACAGTTTTCAGTATCTATAAATAAGAATTTATTATATATTATATCTGATATATTATAACATGTATGTATATATATTATACATTATAAGTAAGAATTGTATAATATTGAATATAGTTTATAGTATATATTTTTCATTTGTAAATTTTTAATCAAAATGGAATTATGATAGCAAGATTTTATTTTAAGAAATATTAAAAACATTATTAAATTTTTTTTAATATATATGTATATTTCGTTTTTAAGAAATTATCTAAAAGTTATTGAAAGAATTAGCAATTTATATATAACATTTTGATACAAACCATAGTTAACCAAACATAATTATCCAAAGAAATACCATATGCGGAGAATCTCACTGGACTTTGTAATATTTGAATACCAAATTGATGAATCTGAAACAATTGTGAGCAATAATTAAAAGTCACAAAGAATTAATTGATAAAATAATTAATTATAATTATTAAAAATTATCATAATAAAGATAAAAGTTGTACATATCGCAAACATACTTCTTCTTGCACGCTAGATTCTTTATCGCATCCATAAATCGAATAAATAATTTCAATAATTTTATTTCCCTATATGATATTAATATATTTATGAATATTAATAAATATTAATTAAATTTTTAATGAAATAATAGAATACAAAATAGATAGATAAATAATAGGTTACCTTATCGGCTGCATGTTTGCAAATGCGACTTAAATATGCAATTTTTAGAATATAAAAGATACTCAATGTGATTGTTACAACTGTTTGCTTCAATAAATTATCTGTGTTAACCTTGTGTTGTATAATATATCGATTGTATAAATTGTAGAGAGCTCTGGTGAGAATCATAATAATCATTCCTATCTCGGAAGCTATTTGTATACCGAAGATAGTACATATTGTTTTTGATACTTTACACAATTCTAAATGCACCTGTCTAAGAAAACAACTATATAAAAGATATTTTCTATTTAAGAAAGAATTCTTCAGAAGTCTCTCTCTTTCTCTCTTTTACAAACTTTCGTTTTACACAAAATTTTGATTTTAATATTCAAAATGTTTTGTAAACAAAAATCACATATCTTAGTATAATCTTAAGTATTTTAAGAATTTATTGAGAAAGAACGATTGGCAGAATTTTATTGCTATTTCTTATAAAAATTATTTATATATATAAATTTATATATAAAATTATTTATATATGCAATTCACTTTATAATTTATATACTCACCTGATTATTTGTAATAGATATTTACGTTCGTGACATTCCGTCATTGCGGAATTGTGTTTCTGAAATCGGTTTCGAAGTTCTCCTTGAGACTGTTTTTGGAAGTAAGGTGTAAAATGCGATTGAATCTGTGATTTAATCGAATTTTGTTTCTCTGATATAGAAATATTTTTTCTAGATTGTACCTGTCGACACCATTTAGATAATATTTTCATGGAAAACAAATGTCGTTGCTCATCATAATCTTGCATTTCAACAGAATCCAATTTCATCATTTTTGCTGAATATTGACATAAGCGTCGATTGATTAAGTCAAATCTCATTTGTAAGCATCTGTGCATAATAGTATGTATTAAATTATATTTCTTTTATTTTTATAGAAACAAATAATAATTTAAGACCTATTAATTAACAATATGAAACACAAATATATATGTGTGTGTGTGTGTGTGTGTGTGTGTGTGTGTGTGTGTGTGTGTGTGTGTGTGTGTATGCGTTTCATATTAGTTAGTATGTAATATAAATTACAATTTAATTTTAGTTTTAATATTATTTGTAAATATGACAAGTAAACTAATTGTGATATTAATTTCTCAAATATTAATTGAGAAAGAGAATAAATATTTCATTAAAATAAAGTTTTAAGTTGTTTAGAAAGCAAGTTTACGTACTTTACAAATATGTAAAACTCGAACATTATAATAGCATTAACGGCCAACGCATACGAATATGCGACCATAGCACCAATTGTTTTATATACATTTGTTTGTTCTTGCATTATTATGAAGACCACAACGCAAGTAGAAAAGTTGACTGTAAACCAGGTAATCAGTACTCCGATCGTCATAAAATATATTCTATCATAATTTACCATCAATCCAAGCTGTCGTAATGTTTCATCGATCTCAAAGATCCTTTTATAGCAAGCATTGAACCTCTGCACAAATGTTAATTTACACCATAAACATAAATATGTATTTCTTTTAAGTACAAGTTTGTCGAATAACACTTATCATGCGAATTAACATTTCTTTTATCTGCGTTTTCATTATTCATTTACAGGATATTATATTATTATATATTTTATTTACAGAATATTATATTACTTATTTCACATTTCGCTTACCTTCGAATACCACCAACCCAGCAGTAGTTTAACGAGGATCAAAAAAATAACAATGTAATTCAATATTTTGTATAAAAAATATTCCAACTTCAATAATGTCACAATTATATAATATCTTTCCGTTAAATATAATGTGCCACCGCAGTATAAACAATAAAGAAATACAAGATAGATCAGACTCAGTATAGGTCTTGGCTGACCACGAGGATACTCAAAAACACGAAGTCCCATTAAATGATTCAGAATTATTACTGGTGCTATCGCTTCAATCAAACATCTTGGACGTTCAAATAACTTCATAATTTCTTTCTTTTGTACAATGTTCTTTAATTAAATATTTGGTCACTCGATTTAAACGATCTTTAACTTCCAATTGTTTAGGCATCTAAAATATTCAAAATCAGACAAATGCATGATTAATGATACCATGATGATGCACAAAAATAAAATAATTTTTGTCGATTTCCATACAAGTTAATCAACCTCTAACTACAAAATAATCGTTTTTAAACAAATTTAGACAAAATCACTAATCTAATTTTAACGAAAAAAAATTTTCTTTTGATAAGATTAATCATTTTACGATATTTGACTGATATTTTGTTTATTCTTTACATCTGTTTCAATTTTTTTATATACATGATATTTACTTGATTAATATATCTGTTATTTACTAATCATTGTGCTTCATGTTATATTTGACTAATATAAATCGACCTACAGAAATAATATGTCAGATCAGACAGTTCTGCGACAGTCACTTTTTCACTGCACTCGATTATAATTTATATGATCTAGCTTTGTTGAGCAACTAAGGAGCGCATAAAAGCTCATAAACGATTATCACGAAGAATGATGATGAAGATGTGCTAAACGAGCGAACGTAAGCAAACGTGTCGCGAACTTTAAAACGATCTATTATATATCTAGCAGTCAATTTTTTCTGTGATGCAATAAGTAATTTGTTGTACAAACGCTCCCACAGGATCCACTTTTATTACCTTAATGCGTTACAAAATACCATCGATTTTAATGATGGTTTGTAATAATTAGTAGAAGAAGATTGCATTTGATCGTTATTAAATATGCTGATAGTGCACGGGATGCAGCAAGATAAAAATATACAAATTAATTTATTAATGAATGTATAATTTAGTCGCAAGTTTATCATATAGTGTTTAACAGGTAATGCTTAACTGCATGGCATCAGCTTTATTTAACTGCTCGAGTCAGAGCTTCGCATATCTTTAATTTATTTTATTTTATTTTATTTTATTTTATTTATTTTATTTTACTTTAATTTATTTTTATTTAGTATAATCGCAGTAAAAGTAAAATATGAGAAACAAAGTATCAATGAATTAATATATGTTCAGTAATAGTTTATTTCATTGGAAAATATTATAAATTATAGTAACTTTATTTAAAGCAATTTTATAGTTACGATACATTTGTACTATAAATGATTAAAATCTAAAATTATTGGATAAATTTTTATATTTAAATGTGTGTTTATATTCTTATTATTAAATTTATTAAATTATTTATTAAATTATTTTTATGTTTAAATATTTGAGAGATTAAGAGAGAATTTATCTGATATGATACATGATTAAATTATTTATATACTTTTGTATTTAACAAAGCTCTTCATTATAATATTATAATGTTTGTATATTCAAGATAGATTATCTTACCTGACCCAATGTAAAAACAACACATCGCTCACGTAAAGTAAGATGACAGAATAGTTTATGGCGTGTATAAGAATAATTGATATGCATATGGATGGATCTTTTATAAATAATCCATTATAATTGTTTATCATGAATACGATAAATATAGCACAATAAATTTAAGCACGTACAATCTACATTTAGTGTATTTAAAAGCTTATTTCGAATTTTTTAAATTGAATAAGAAATGTATTTTAATTTAAAATATTTATAACATATATCTAAGTTAATCATATTAGATTTTAAAATTCTTCTTCAAGATGTTATCTTCGTTTTATAATAATTTTTTAAAATTTTTCTTTAAGCAACCATTCGAAACAAGAAACAACGTAAAACAGATATTAGAATATTGCTCGATCAAAATATCGAAGTCATTTGACTGTTTTGTATGAAGTAGTTACATATATATTCTATGGAAAATTTTATTAGAACGTAATAACTCACCAAATAGATCAATTAATATGCAAAATTGTGAATCTTTACACGCTTGCTGATCCAAATTTCTTATCCCAAAGACAAAGTTAACCATGATCAGCGGTATGATCATCGCATATTCTTTGAAACATGTTTGGTAACATTCGTCGATCTAAACGAATAGCACTTTTGACTGTGAGCGTACACACGGCTGCGAAATGAAACTCCGTCATGAATATCGAGAGTGATTAATTTGACGCTTCGCCTGCTCTAGTACAAACATCATAATGCGAAATGCCACTTTGATAAGTGGTTGATAATAATATGACCGAAAGTGATCGATCAAACAAGTAGCAATGATAGGAGCCAAAGAATGTTCACGATGTCTCATAATGCGTCTACGTCCCAAAAGATCCACCCATCTCATGATCTATATTGGTCGGCGAATGCATTGCATGAATCTCCATTATTTTTATAAGTAAAAATGTTTTCCGGAATTTTTGTATTTTTTCATTTTCTTTTAGAAAATGCGTAGATTAATTTCTATGGAAAATTGATAAATTAAAGAGAAATTTTGATAGAAACTCACATACATTGTATTCAAAAGATTACGATTATTTTTCGTTATCAAAGAAAAATTAACTCGATATTGATAAATTTATTTTTTACTATTTTCTCATTTTATTCTTATGACAATAAGAATTATTGATAAAATTATTGTAAAGTAAATAATGATAAATTAATGATAATACGCATAAGCGTACGAAATAAGCAATAACTATATTGGATGCCCGTGATCTTGTAATGGATGAATACCCATGAGACTTTACTGAGAGAGATCGATATCGTGCGAAATATCAAGCTAAGAGCTATCTTATTAACGACTAAGAAAAAATTCATTAAAACATCAGTATTATGTATTGGTGATTGTAAAATAAAAGTTTAATATACAATGTGTCGCTCATAAATTACAACATAGTCGCTTTTTTATTATTAAATTAGTTTAAATAAAATGAATATTTTATATTTAATTTTATAACTATTTTATTAGAAATATTTAATTTAATAATTAATATATTTATTTTGTTCATATTATAAAGAGCTTCAAATTCAACAAGTATACTTTGATATGGATCTGATGACACACTGTAATAATAAAAGAATGAAAATAAAAATGAAATGAAAAATATATAATATGTAATGACCTGACAAACACATTTCAAATATAAGTATGTTTATACAATCGTATAATATTTTTGTCTCTAACAGTTTTGATTAGGTTACAATAAGCAATTAGTTTTAGGAATATTAAACATCTAAAATGAAAATGTGATATGCAAAAATACTTTTAATTTTATTACTTTATAATTAAATAAAATTTAAAAAAGCATATTTATCCGTTGAATTAAGTACAAAAAATATATTTCATTAAATACAAGAAGTTTAAGTCTAAATTTTAACATAAAAAAATAAAAGTATATTAAATATATTACAGATTCTGTTAAGGATAGAGAAAGAAAAATAGGAAAAGAGAATCTATTGAATATCTCAAATAAAATAATCCTACATATTATATGTCTATACGTTTTATTTCAGCTTGCATAAATTTCTTTTATATTTATGACATTTACGATATTTAATACACATTAATTTTTTCATAACTTAAATTATAATTTTTTTGAATGTTTTATATTAATATTAATAATAATATAATTTTAATATTTAATAAAATAATATAATTTTGAATTATTTATATTAATATCTATATTTTCTCAAAATATATATTATATATAAATATAATATATATGCACGTTATATTTAAGATTTACATATTTTGAATAGCTTTATTGGACTCTAATGAGTTGCTCACTTGTATCATAATAACCAAATAGGTTGTTATAATTTTCAACATC